AAACTATTTCCATTAGTCGGGTAAGTCTTGCGAGTATATTGTGTACTCAGGGTTTATTTACCCCTGTTGCAGGTGCAGCTTGAGGAGTTGCTCTTGTGTGGAGGATTCTTCTGGTCGGCACAGACGGATCCTTGTATCATTTCCGCTAGATATTTATTTTTATTCCGCTGTTTAATTATCGCATTCTGAACTCTGGTATTGTAATAAATAATTTCTAAGAACTCTTATTGTATGAAATGGACTAAGTATTGTAAGCTCATGCTCATTATTGGATTCTGGATGTAAAACGTGAATTGTTTTGAGTTCTCCATTGGGGTGTGCTCGACGGAACTGACCGAGGTAGCTCACTTTTGAGGTGCTTAGTGTCTAGTGGAAGACGAGCGCCTCCGAAAGCGTGTTATTTCGAGCGGTTCTGCCATATAGGGTGTTGATATTTCTTAACGACTAGTGGAGGGATTCCACAAGCGCACAGAACTATTGCTTAGCACTTCGCTCGGTGAGTACCGAGTGTTGAATTTATATTTTCCCAAAGGAAGACGGAAGGCTAATTTATATATGATCGTTAGGTTTGCTAAGGGAAAAGCGTGATCTTAGCCTAATTCGTTGAATCGTAACGGTGGTTGTGAGTGAACGAATGGGTGAACTGATAAACAAACTAAACTAGAGGTAGGATAGCTAGGTGGGAGAGCGAGCAATTTATCTTAAGTAACAAAAGGTAAACCAATGACTAGAAGAAATGTGCTAGTACTTTGGGGCACAGCCCGCCTACCAACTGGGAGAGTTAAATAGATAAGGTCTGCCATAAGCCCTACGATTTAATAACTAGACCTAACGTGGTAGAATACAGAGTATGGACAAAGTTGTCACCACTTGCCAACTACCACAATCTATCCGGAGGCCTAGTCGTATCCACAGGTAATCTATAGCCTAAGCACCTCGCTTAATCTATAAACTTACTACTTTGATCTCAGCTATGATGAAATGGGATCAAAGCACCCTAACCAGACGTTGGAACCGATACTGATGAATGACTACTAAACAAAAGATAACCTATGATACTAATGCCAAGACACAAGCATCTATAAGCTCACTAATGATGAACAATAATGAACAAGTACTTGAACAAAGCAAATCAATAATACTGAATAAAGTACTGAAAGTAAAGAACTGAATAAAGTAAATGTTGAATGAAAGAATTATAAAGGAGCTATACCAGACCGAGAAGATTCTTTCCGGACTCCAAAGAAAGCTCCGCTCTAGCTCTACTTCCACTCCTAAGCTACTACTCTAGAGCCACGCTAAGCTAGAAAGCTTGGAGAAGCTTGGAATGCTTGGAAAATGAATGGGGGCACTTCTCCACCGAGCACCACTGTCCCTTTTTATAGTGTGGAGAGGCATTGGGGGTACTTATAGGGTGGAGAAGGTTGGTGGAGGTGACTTGGGCACCGGGCGACATAGGGGGCGTCGGCCGGCGTAGGATTGCGCCACCTTACAATCATAGGGCCTTGATTAGCTCCCAAAGTCTGTTACTAAGACAGCACGTGCCAAGAATTGGTCGGGAAGTCGGTGGTTAAGTCGGTGGAGCTCATCCAAGTGTATGACAGTGGGCCCATGGATCCAAGGCAATCCAATATCGGCCATTGAACAAATCGACATTGAATTAACGCTGGAGAAGCCTTGTGGAGTTGCTCCTACAGATCAGTGACGTGGCAGGGCCACCTAGGGGGTCAAGCGGAGCCTATGTGGCGCCGACTGACGTGGCATGGGGGCCCACGGCCCCCCTGTCACATTCACTTGCCTCCTATGTACATACTTTGCATTGTTTTAGCCAAAATTCTTGCATACAAATATTTTTCTATGTACAAGTGGAACTAGGTGAATTATAAAGCAAATTCAACACATGTAATGATGATTTACCTCACTTTACCTTACTTTTGGGTGAAATGTTGATGGTCAAAACGGGTGTTAGTGACCGTCAACATAGGGCAAAATATTATTTTATGATAAGGTCACTAATTAGTCAAATAATTAGCCACGGCTCATCAGTTCTGTTGATAACTAAAAATTGTATTTCTCAATTTAAATTGTTGCATTTCCGTATATTGAGATATTTGAATATTTTAATTTATATTAGTATCGGAGGATATTCGAATTCGCATTATTTTTGCAAAAAGGAAGTGTTTTGACATAAATGTTGTAAACTATCCTGTTTGTATCATATTCCTTCGACTCATGACGTCAAGTACATACATAATTTCTACGGTCAAGCACATAGATTAATTTTTTTATTTGGTAGCCAGGTTACGCACACAGTAAAGGCCTGTTCGGATTATGGGGTCCGAGGCTTGGAACTGTTCTAGCCAAAAACATTTATCTAATTTATATAGACAGCTCTCAACCAGAAATTATTCCTCTCAGAAAAACTAACGAGACCTAAAGCTGTAAACAAACCACTTTTTCATCCACGCATACGTGCGCAGGGGGGAAAAAACTGCCCTGCCAGTCTGCCATGTGACTTAGGAATCTCACTACAGGTTTTGCTTATTATCTGACACAAAGCTAGTTTAGCTTTAGCTGCAACTAGAAATGCCGTATCCAGGGTTTGGGATTTGCTATTGAGTTTTTTTATTTGTCTCCGCCTAAAACACTGAAATTCTTCATATATGTGCCAAAATTGGTTTTTATTTGCCTCAGCCTAAAATTTTGAAACTTCTGATATTTGTGCCAGAATTGCGGTCATATGTTAATAGAGATTTCCATAATATACTAATCTTTTAGTATTTTGAATCATGCTTAGTACTTCCTCCGTTGTAAGCTGTAAGTCATTCCTGCACCATAATATAAATATGTGTTACTTGTGATCCCCTACTGACAACTGATCGAAGTATACAATGCGAAAGTAATAAAGCTTCGCACTAACATCGCTACACCGGATATATATGATATGAACCTCATGAATAGTATGCTAGTACGCGAGCAACGTCTACACAGTATCATATGCCACTACTATAAAAATGATTTCGCGAAACACACACTTTTTATTTACGAAGGCACCTAAAAATGACCACCTTGTAAAATCGATTTACGAAGGTGGTTGTTTTATTTATGGAGGCGCTCAGGAAATAGCCGCCTCCGAAATTGGATTTACGGAAGCGGACATCTTAAGAGAACCGCATCAAAAAATGGTCTATTTTTGGAGACGCCCGTCTCTGTAAATTTATTTTCTCAGAGGACCTCTTAAGAGGCCTGTCTGGAAAATTGGCCTGAGGCGCAAATAAACCAAAAGGCCCGTTAGCCATGTTATTATGTATATATAGCCAGAGTTAGGGTTTGGAGGCCTCATCCCCCTCTCACACACATAATTCTCTCTCTCTCTCTCTCTCTCTCTCTCTCTCTCTCTCTCTCTCTCTCTCTCTCTCTCTCTCTCTCTCTCGTTCTCTCAGTTACAAAGTTAGGGTTTGGTAGCGCTCTCTCTTCTCTCCCGGCAGTGGCGGCAGCGGCTAGATGTGGCGGCGCTCCTCCCTCTGCTCCTCCCGCACGGCGTTCCTCTCCCTCGTGCTCCTCCGGCGCGCGCGGGTAGCGGCTGGCTACCTAGCGGCGGATCGAGCTCCCTCGGCGGCGGATCGAGTTCCCCCGGCGACGGATCGACCTCGTGGCGGGGCTTGCAGGGGTGCGGCCGCCTGTGCTCGTGGCCATCCGGATCCAACGAGCAACGGCGGCGGCGGCGATGCTCGTATGGGCTTGGAGGGCGTTGTTGATGGGCTCAATGGGCCCAATCAACGGGCTTGCTGGATTTTTTTTTTTTATTGATTAACCCAAACGGGCCTATGAGCCGCCTCGGTAGTTCCTGAATAACGCAGATGATTTGAGGCAGGCGGACGGGATGTCGGCCTGCGTTAACTGTTTTTGACAGCGTGGAAAAATCATACTGTAGTATATCGAACTCACATGTGACCTGCCATATATATTTGCCTACATATTCGCCGACGGTTCTAGACTTTTGACCTCGATCCATCAGGTGCCTGTGCCTCGGCCCGCGTACGTGAACCGATCGATCTCGGCCGGTCAGTAGTCTCGGACTGCATGCAGGTGCCGTTCGTAGACGTCGTCATCGTCGGTCTGCTAGCTCCTCGAGAGAAACGTGCGGGTGCGGCAGTGGTCGCTGGTTGTGTCACGGGGCACACGTGCGAACGCCGGGGCCGGCCGCCGGGCCGGGAACGATCGACGAACACGGGCGGTGGATCGTAGACGGACGGACGAGTGGTGAATGGTGATGGATGGGGTATGGAACGGATGGAGGCAGCCGCGTCGACGTCGTCGGAGCACGCGGACGCGGCCGGCGGGCCCGGCCGGGCATGGATCATGGATTGATGGATGGGCCTGCAGGGGTCGAGACCCCTGGTGTGCAGGAGTGGCGCTCGTCCACATGCATGTGGCGACGCAGAGGTCGTACTCATGGACAGGACGCATGTGTGCCTGACATGGACGGGCTCCGCGACCGCGTGAAGTGGATGTGGATGCCATCGATTAGCAGGCCGTGGCTGCCTGCCCGCGGTGTGTATCACACCTTCACACCGCATCGGAGCTGGCCGCAGCCCGCGCCCCGCAGGTTGCAGGTGCAGCAACCTCCACAGTGCACACTCCACACACACACACACACACACACACACACACACACAGCACAGCATAGCTAGCTGCATCTGCATCCGTCGTCCCCAGCGTCGTTCCTTTCCTTCCTTCGCCTCCAGCCCACCACACCGTCCAGGTCGCGTCTCCGTCGGTGCCTCGCCGGCCATCTCCATCTCCTCTTCATTCAGCAAGGCAGCTTCTGACGCGTCCCCGCTCCGCCGTCCCTTCATTATTCTCTGCATTGTGCGGCAGTGCGCGCCGTGATAGAATTAAACCGCCGGCGGAACAACAAGCAATAAATTAAGCAACTGCAGCGCGCGCGCGAGCTAGCGCCCATCGAAGGACGTCGTTCTTTCGTCGGAACAAGCTAGATGGTGAACACCAAGGGCGTCGAGCCGGTGCACCGCGCCGCCGGGCTGCCGCTGACGGCGCTGAACCACATCTCCGTGGTGTGCCGGTGCCTCGAGAGCTCCCTCCGCTTCTACCGCGACGTCCTTGGATTCGTCCCCATCCGCCGCCCGGGCTCCTTCGACTTCGACGGCGCATGGTAGGTACCATTGCAGTGCAGAGCATTCTTCTTCTCAATTCTGATGGCTTTGCCAAGCTAGCTGGTAGCTAACAATTGCATGGCGGCCTGCATGATCAACAATGTATTCATAATTCATTACTGCTACTGCACTACCGCAGGCTGTTCAACTACGGCATAGGCGTTCATCTTCTGCAAGCCGAGGACCCGGCGAGCATGCCCCCCAAGAAGACGGAGATCAACCCCAAGGACAACCACATCTCCTTCCAGGTATTAATAATGCCACCACGTCTCGTTAAGCATCATATATAGCTAAGATCCAGATCGCTAGCTGTTTTAATTTGCAATAGTGTCTACCTCTACCCACGTTTGACCAGCGAGTGTATATATATATATATATACATACAAATACTCTGATCTGAGGTACATGGTAAGACAAGTTTTTGGAGAAGAAAAAAAATGAACAGAGATATACGCCACGGTGTCACAGTTGACACTGGGGAATCAATCGAATTAATTAACCAGTAGCTTTATCTGCATGTTCCTGCCCTCATTTCCCTGCTGAACGAGATCCACGACTGCTCCTCATCTGCTATATAGAATATAGTTATATATAATTAATCCGTTCCTCAAATTCGGATTGTTCCTCATCTGCGTCAGCACATATGTACAGCTGGTCCCTTCTCTTGTTGGAAAAATGGTCACGACAACAACTTCAATTAATTTGACAGCATCCCATTTCTCTAACACATCTGATTTAGCTACCAATTAGTTATGAAGTTCATCCTATGGAATACAGACAAGCCAATAAACGGTGGTGGTTGTAGAGGCTTTTCAGTAGCTAGCTAGTACTTAGGGCACCCCCAATGGTCGGCTCATAAGCTAGCTCTTAGTATTTTTCATATTTCAATAGAAGAGAGAGAAAAGCTAGCTCTACGCTCATACACACATTCCAAGATTATGTGAGAGTGTCATGTGATCCTAATTATACTATGAGATATTGCTAAAAGCTAGCACTATTGGAGAGGTTGACTTAGACCTAATAACTAACTTATACCATTGTGGGTGCCCTTAGTCACAGGCTCACAGCTGCTCTAATTCTGCCCTCATTTTGACCTCACAATTTGCTGAAGTGGGGGGCTCGATCTGATCTACATCTTAACTTAAGAAATGGATGCTTGTGGCTTCCCACTACACCACTACACCAAGATTAACGATGGATGGTCTGACGCTAAAAGCGGCTACAGCGACAGACAATCTGACGCTAAAAAATTATAGCGACAGACTTCTGCAGACGGTGTAAGTCCTATCGCTAAAAATCTTTAGCGTCAGACAATACAGTTAGCGACAGACAATTTGTTGCCTGAATATTTATAGCGACAGATAGTCCATTGCTAGTTTTTAGCGACAGATGTTCTGTTACCAAGCATATACCGACAGTCCATCCAATAGCCCATGTATTTATAGCGACAGATGGTTCAACAGGACACTATAAATATACAAAAAAAATACAATTAGAAAAAATATTTAGCACATATCAAACCCACATTCAAGCTTAATGTCCATCACATAAAGATATAGAAACACATACAACACATCATAGAGGTCAATTCTTATATAACATATAACTTGTCTTGCACATCGTTTGAACCATCCAACAAAGTCGGGCACCAAAAGATTACATGAATGCACTCCCAGTAAGCAATACTAGTATTTTGTGTTAAACATACTAAGGTTTGTGCACACAATCATTTCTAGGAACTCAAAAACCAAAAGCAATGGCTTGCCAACACTCCATCAGGTTATGTGTGGAGAACTATTTTCTAGAAACTCTTGTGCCCAACACTTTCTGAAAAATATAATAACCATGTTATTAGGCAAGTGGAAACCAAAAGCAATGGCTTGCAAACAATTTACAGAATGTATGATTCTTTGTCCAAAGGTAATTCAATTTAGCATCCCACAAGCAAAACAAAGTACAGATACTAGGAGCTGAAATGACACTATATATCAAAGCCGACAATCCCACAAGCAAAATTTTAATGATCTTAGTGGCTGATGCCACTTTTCGTTGCCATAGATATTTGCATGCATCTGTAATCTTGTTCTTGCTAAAATTTTAAAGAAACAAAGCTACCACACACACACAGTAATGCAGTCCATTTATTAAAGATAGCAGCACCAACTATCACTTCATATGAGATTCTAGAGTGAATATAAAATTTGAGATGCAAATCCACAGTCGGCAGGAGACTTTTTCACAGAGCCACTGATATTTCACAGTGAAGCTTCATATATGCTCTAAAATAAAAGTCAGGGGCTGTCATAAGCTAACAACCTAGAGCTGTTATGAGGAAAGCTTAAATTTTTCTCCAGACCATTTCATGAAAAAACAAGCTTAATCTTTTAACTAGCAAAAGAGACAGGCATCCAGCGTTGGAACAACAGGCCATATTGCAGAGCTCGGGCTTACAAGCTCGGGCTTGCAGAGAAGAAGAAGAAATAAGATCCTTGCCTTATGAGCTCCGGCTTGCAGAAGATCAATGGTGGCCTTGTCCTTCATCTCACTCAGCTCCTGCATCAAAAATGAGAACTCAACTTGATACAAGTAAACCAATTACCAACACTTGATACAATACACAGGAGATGATTGGGGAAAGACACTTAACATGGTACAATACACATGAGAGCAATGCACACGATGACTGAGTGGCTAGCTATATTCAGTTACTACCATCACAGTAAAAGGGGAAAAAATCCATGCTGATTCATTGAAGCCACAGATGACCATATGTAAACTAAAGTTCAGAACTAACTGTTACTTGCACTTGAGAAAAACAAAGAAAAGGCATGGTAGGCATGCGCTTGAGAAAAACAAAAGGTTCACTTGCACACTTAATGTATTTTTTTTTACTGCAGTAAGTGTGCAGGTTACTTACTGCAGGTTACTTGAGAAAAAAACAAAAGGTTTACTTACTGCAGGTTACTTGCACACTTACTGTATCTTTTAGAACTGTAATTTCCTACTAAGTACAAAAGGCTAGGTAGGCATGCATGGTGACAGACTACGTATGATTCATTGCCTCCAACATGTACGGTATGCAACTCCTTGTGTGACAGGCTTTTAGTATCTACTAATCCTATCAAGCTGATAGCTGGGAGATATAGCTAGCCCCTGCAGAGTTTGGTCACAGGCTCAGCTAGGCCTTCAGTTTGGTCGCAAGCAAGCAGGGGCTGGAGCCCAGTATGGCCTCCACTGAGCTCCGCCCCTGTTTTCAACCACTTAGGAGAAAAAACCTGGCGGTAATTTTCATTTCTCTTACTGCATGTTTCTTATTTGAGCTACAGGTCATAGTTGTATCTATTCCATTATCTCTGACAGAATGTAGTAATTGCCTTCCAAATATCGCTTGACTGATAGCTGCAACAGCTATTACAAATCAACTTATATCTTAGTTACTAATGCACATATGCAGTAAAAATTTCAGAGGTAGTGACATTGTTTGGAGGCCCAACACTAAAGATAGTAGTTTAGCATAAGAAATTTAAGATATCTAAGAAGTCAATTGAGCTTACCTTCACTGTTATTGGCTTACTACTTCCCATTCAAATATGGTGGTTCACTAGAAGTTTGGAGCATCCATTGGGGCTTTATGATGTCCCTCATCAGTATTAAGAGCTTGTGATCAAAATAAAATATTGTAAGAAAATCTTGAAACAGGAGGTAATGAATGTTATAAGAAATATTATTATTCTAAATCATGACTTGCTAAAAATACAGATTAGTATAATTCAGATCTAAGACTTGCTAAAAATTCAGATTGTAGCCTAATATATGAGATAGTATATATAAGTCAGATCCAAACATGCTGAAAATTCAGACTGCAACTGAAACAATAAGAAAGTACTTACTGTTAATTTAGCATAAAATAGAAAATCATAGAGACAACATCAATTTGTTAACTAGCAGAACAAGCAATATCAACTAGCAGAACAATTACACTTATTACTCATGTTGGATATACTCATGTTTTGGACCTCTATCAATCATGTTTCTTCCAAGACTTAAAACTATACTTATCGAACTGATATATTGGTTCTTCCAGAATCCTAGTACACTAGAATTTGTCATGCCAAGGTACAAAGTTGAAAGAAATTTAGGTATCTGAATATAAGGGTATTCCATAGTGAAAAGTTTTCAAAAAAAAGTGAAAAGTTGATAATGACTTTGAAACAAAATGACATGTTTTACAAGCACAACCGCAGTTAGTCATTTACTATTATTAAATGGATTATTTGTGAATAGCACATACACATGCAGTGACTATAATGTATTGCTCATTTAAAATCAAAGTTTGACTAATGAAGTACAACCTTCTGAAACGAATGACTCAAAACAGTTACACTTAATTAATGCTCAAACAATTAAATGGTACAAATATATCATGAGAGGCCAATTCAGAAATCATAGATTGGAGGGAAACAATAACAATAAGAATTACTACCTAAGGTGCCTGACAAGCAGGTAACTAGTTCTTAATGGCAAAAATATTTTTGTCAGCAAACTAGTGCTCTCTTCGGTGATGTTTACTGAGAAAACTAATTCATATTTGAGACCAGTATTTTTTGACCTGCATTTAGTTCAAAATCATGTTCTACAAATGATGAAAAAACAGGTAGCAGTAGTACACATACAAATCAAAGATTAATTTATCTAGCATTTCACTAAACATTTATCGATACGATATCAAGTCCAAATTTAGCAGCCAGCCATAAACACACACGAGATGACGAGATCAAACCATAATTGCATCTACACAAGCAGATAAATTACACAAGGGGAGATGGAGGGCTGTCTCACATTGTAGTGACGTCTGGAGCGCGCGCCGTCGTGGGTAGTGGTGGCCGCCGCCGCGCCGTGGCCTCGTCCTCCTCAGAGCTCGAACCACCAGCTCCTTCCTGAGCGCCTCCTGATGGGTCTGCGCCGCCACATCCCGCGCCGCTGCCGCATCTCGAACCGGTGCCGCTGCGAGATCACGGACCGACGCCGCTGCCGCATCTCGTGGCTGCGCGCCTCCCGAGCCACGCCGCTGCTGCCTCCTTGGCCCTCGTGGAAACCGTAGCCGCCGCATCCCGGACCTCCGCCAGCTGCCGCTGCTCGAATCTGCGCCGATGCCGCATCTCGAGCCCACGCCTCCGCATCCCAAGCCCGCCCATGGCCGCCTCTTGGGCCCACGCCGGATTTGGGACCCTCCTCATCGGATCGAGCTCTTCCTTGCAGAATCGAGCTCTTCCATGAGGAAGAGAGCACCGGGTGGGAGAGCTACGGAGAGAGAGCAGGAGAGAGTGAACAGAACAGGGGATGCGGAGGGAGCGGCGGCTCGATAGATAGGCTGTGTCCGTGTGTGTTGTGACCTAGGGTTGCCTAGGTGGGAGGGATAGGTGGGCCGATTGTGGGCTTGGAGGCCGCACGTGAAAGGTTCATCTTTATTAATTATTTTTTTATTTTAACTAAATAAGACACATTGGTGAATATTCTAATCAAAATAGTACTTGAAACTAAAATATTTTTACATGAAATAAACTGCATATATGTTGTTGCGTAAAAGTACACAAAATTTTGAAAATCATTTACTGTTTTCTATAGTTTAAACAAATTTCTGCGTGTCTGTATTAAGTTCCAAATAAAAGTACGTGTTTATATTAAATTCTGTTCCATGATCATTTCATAAATATTTCAAACATTTTTAAGAAAGTGGGACTACATGTTCACAGATAGATACATTCAACAAAAAGATACTAAAAAAACTGAATCCAAGTACATTCAACCACTGATTCATAGCTTAGTGGTTTGTTCATGATTTGGAAAAACTGAATTTGCGATTTCGGGGAGAGGAGAGTCTAGGGTTCACTGGTGGGCCAAACAAAAATTTGCGAGTGAGCTAGATAGAGGTGGAGCACGCGAGCTCAGCGTGGGGCCCATTTTCTTTAGTGACAGACAGATTGACGGTACACTTTGCTTTAGTGACAGACGATTCAACGCTAAATATGAATACTTATAACGACAGACACTAAATCGTTAAATGAGAATTTAGCGTCAGATGGTCTCTGAGTTATCTTTAACGTCAGATCATCCATCGCCAAATATATTTTTTAGCGTTAGATGCCTGACGGTGAAGCAGTGTTGTGGTGTAGTGTCCATGCATGATCAATGATGATTAATAACATAATAAATGATAGGACTAGTAGTAGATCGAATTGATGAAGAATTCCTCATGCTCTCTGGGTAGGATCATTGCATGTGCACATGGGGCATGCCAATTCCGTTCCAAAACTCAACTCAGGCTGCATGAATAGTTGAATAGATATTTATATATATGTGCACCAAGCCGCCAAGCTATACTTGAGTGTGTTTGCATTGCATTGTCCTAAATGCATGTTGCGCAAGTGAACAAGAAAACCTTCACGCTCATCAGCTGTTTTGATAGGGACTGATGCGTTGTCTATTTGTCTGGATCTATCTAGAGTTACAGACATATGCATATGTACTAGGAGTATGTGCTATATATCTTAGACTTGCATCATTACCGTCAGGAATTTACTTAACACATTCATATGAGGTGACGGGATTTTACATGGATTTTGATGTGTGAAACTTTTCTTTTAAAAAATGGGACATGTGAATATGGCCATGTGCAACCTCTTAGTGAGATAGCACTATATAATCTTATTAAATTGCTTTGGTCAAACATTTGGAAGGAAAAAAACTATGAATCGATCACTATATATGTGTACTCTTTAACTAGACACGTCCAATTAAGAAGGATAGTTCTGAGAAGACATATACACTCTCCTGCATGCTCTCTGGTCCTAGCTCAAGAAAATAAAGACAATCCGCTAGGCGACGATTTGGAAAGTTGGAGAAAGTGACAACAATAGATTTTTCCTAGAAAAATGACAATAGGTTATTGGTTTGTGTTACACATACGTAGAGTTTGTCTACACACACTCACACTCAGACAGCGTGGATGCTGCGCTGGCTGGATCATTCGTATCTGACTCACATGCACATCTGGCAAGACCAAACGAACGTACGTATCTGCATGCATATGCATGTACGACTAGCCATAGGTTGTCGACAATAAAGTTAACCAGCATGCAGTATGTAAACGTGCTGCTACCTGCTAGGACTAGGATGCACGAGTGCTTCTTACCATGAATAAAATCATCTCTGACGCAAAGGTGAACTAATGATGTCCTTGCATGTATACATGCAGTGCGAGAGCATGGAGGCGGTGCAGCGGCGGCTCAAGGAGCTGGGTATCCGGTACGTGCAGCGGCGCGTGGAGGAGGGCGGCATCTACGTGGACCAGGTCTTCTTCCACGACCCCGACGGCTTCATGGTCGAGGTCTGCACCTGCGACAACCTCCCCATCGTGCCCCTCGTCCCCGAGGGCCATGCCATCCTCGGCCTGCCGCAGCAGCCTGCAGCGCCAGCCTGCAAGCGTCCAGCAGCCGCCCTCAGGCAGCTGCAAGCGCCGGCGCCGCAGCAGCCGCTTCCTGTTCCCGTGGCCGTCGTTCCAACCCCGGCAAAGGCCAGCGGCTGAGGCAGCTGCGTCGGCGAGGTCGAGCTCGAGGAGAGCATCCCCGCTTGCGCGATGAGGTCTTGTCCGGAGCACTCGTGCGTGTAGCGGTGCGTGGGTCTGATTGATCCGTCGAGAGAGTACCAAGAGCGACCGGAACGCTGCGCCGGCATTTTGAAGATCCAATGGAGAACTTCGTTGCCTTGCATTGTTTTCCTTCAATTCGTCAACCTTGACGAAGCTGTATATGTGTACCGGGTGTGTCTTGTTCGTTCGTTAATTAGTTTTGTTCGATTGTTGGAGTGCCTTGACGCGAACGAACTGTTGTAGCTGCAGGGGCTAGCTAGTGGGTAGTGGCCATCTGGTAGTGCCCATTGCTTGCACTGCAAAGCACAAACTGTTTTTTTTCGAAAGCGTGCATTAGCACGTGTTTCATTAAGTGAAGTGGAAAATGTTACATGTCCCGCTGCCAACGGTGACGAGATGCCTCAGTCTGCAAGCGGAACGAACACAGACAAGGAGCACCGGCTTGAACGGTGGCGCTAAGAAGGTGTACTAAAGGGGTAACAAATTGCGCGATAGGAAGTTAGGGGAGCCGCGGCCCACTCCTAGGTGACCGCGGCGAGCAGCGACGCAAGGGCCCGGAACCCGGCGGCGACACAGGCGTTAGCTTCCTCACGGATGACGGCGAGGACCTGTGTGCTAGTTCTCGCGAGACGGTCGAAGGTTCGCCTGTTGCTTTCTTTTCATATGATCCATGAGACGAGCAGGACGAGGGAGTCGAATCCGTGCCGAAACGTCTCCGGGAAGTCGTCCCTAGTCTGCAGCCACCAGTCGGCCATGGTGGAATCAATGCGCGGCCCAAGATGCTGGAGTCCCGCCGACGCGAGGAGCCGCATCCAGACCTCGCGCGTGAACGGGCAGGATGCCAGGAGATGGTCGGTGGTCTCATCGTCTTGATCGCAAAGCACGCAGACAACATGCGTCTGGAGTCCATGGCGTTTCCGGCGTTCAGCGGTCGACAGACGGCCGTGGAGCGCGAGCCAGAAGAAGAACTTTACCTTTGGCGGCACGGAGGCCCTCCAGACGAACATGGCTCCAGGCAATGAAGTCATGCCAAAGAAGAACGCTCTATACGCAGAGGAGGCGGCGTAGTTTCTGCTTGGCGTCCACTTCCAGATGTAGCGGTCGGCGACTTGTGGCAACAGCTGGATCCGACGGCCGCGGGTGTGGCAGATCCGACGGCCAGGCCTGCCGTTGATGAGAACCTTGGTGCTCCCCGTCCCCAGCATCGCCGAGAGCCAGTCGCGCCACCACACGGGGAAGCCGACGTGCTCGAGCACCTCGAGCAGGAACGGCCAAGCCAACGTGCAAAGGCCTTCGCCAGATCGACTTTGAGCAGAATCGCGGGGTGGTTTTTGGCATGGAGTCAACGACAGGAGAGCTGTACGGTGCAGTTCTTCAAGCTGTAAGTCATCGATGACCCCACGGAATCGGCGCATGTTGGCGCGGTCCAATCTTTCGTTGTTCTTGTCACTGGCTTTATAAATTAGGTTGAAATCACCACGCAGAAGCCATGGGCCCCAGATGCGGCGCGCACGTCCCTGATCTCCGAGAGGAAGCCTGGCTTATCAGCTCTGGCCGATGGGCCATACACGTTAGTGAGCCACCACGGTATGTAGGCCCGGTCCGTTGAGAGGAGTGAGCTCGAGGGTGATCGAGAAGCGGCGCACGACGGGCGCAGATGCGCGCCACAGATCGCGACGCCATCAGACGACAGCTCCACCGGCGACGCAAGTCGCCGGGAGGTACACATAGTCAAAGCCTATCCCTGTTATTTCATGGCACAAGGTTACACCGAAGTTCGCGACCTTGGACTCCTGCAAGCAGACTATCGAAGTCCTCTGCTGGGCGACGATGTCCCAAACGACAGAACGGCGTGCATGACTGTTTAGGCCGCGTGCGTTCCAGACTAGTAGATGGTCAGCACTCATAACTGAACGATCAGGGGCGACGACTAGAACACCCTTGCCGGGGCAAGCGTGCCGTGCCCATGGGTGGACCGGGTGTTGTGCCCGGTATTCCCGGGCATACCCAACATTTTTGCCGCAAAAATTAGTATATATAGGTATACATATATGCACGATATAGTTAAGCTTTAGTATCGTAGCTCGAAACCACGTTGCAGCCCATTACCTATCTGCTCACCCGGCCATCAAGACTGATTCTAGTCCATTCTCCTCCCTTGGTCAAGAAACTCATGAGGCAAAGCGCAAGAGCCGCGAGCCCGACGGATGCTCCCGCGAGACGAAATCCTAGCGCCCGCCTAGTGAAGACGTTGGCCACGCCGCCCAGCAACATTAAAATAACCCGAGTGCGGTGTCGCCCTAAAACGCACAGTGTTATAGCTGATCTACCACAATTGTGGCTCGAGCACTCGGCAAACAGGTAGGTGTAGTTCAACTGCGGGTCGCCTCACACCCCGCTAGATACCAGCAGCTAGGATGGCACGTTGGTCGCCATCACAGAGGCACACCCCGCTAGAGCCGTCTGGAAGCGCATACATATCTTGATTCGGTATCTTTCTTAACCAAATTCAGAGGCAACAATTCAAGTTCTCCTTTGATCTTTGCTCAGTTTATAATATATTTTCTTTAGCTTGAGGCTTGGGCATACCCAACTTTGAAATCCTGGGTCCGCCACTGGCCGCGGCCAGCGCGCCGGGGGAAGAGCTCACGCATTGCGGCCCTCTTGGATGACGAGAGCGGCGCCGTGAAGGTGTCGTGGAACTTGGAGGCGATGGCCGCGTCGGGCGTGGAAGATGGCGCGTTCTCTGGCTTCCGCGTCCACTTGTTCACAAGGACGCGCTTTGCCTGCTTCTCCGGCTGCGGGTCGCGGAAGGCCGACTTGGCCGCGAGCCGGTCGCTGCGGCGCGGGACCCACTCATCGTCTATGGCTCTGGAGGTGCGCACGCGCGGAGTGGTCCTGAGCAGCGGCACAACTAGTGGGATCCTGAGGGAGTTGACGAAGGATGCCGGCGACGGTGGCGACGTCGCGATGCAGGGCTCCGCACCCGGGGGAGAAGACGCTGCGACGGGTGCCACATTGTCCGCAGCCATCCCCGAGGGGGCGACGAATGGCTCGGCCACGTCCGAAGGCCGTGCTGTCACAACGACCTCTCGACCCAAAGGCGACGACGGGCCGAAGCCGCAGTCGTCTAGGCCGGAGAGGCAGAGGTCGACCTCCATCCCCAGGCAACGCACAGGGGCGTCATCAATGTCTCGGCCCGGTCCACCAAATAAGCAGTCAGGCCCAGCCGCGAGCCCAGGAGCAAGGCATGTCGCGTGGGCCTCGAACAGCTGCAGGTCCACACCGAGGGCTCGGCCGATGAGACCCCAAGGGCGGGTGTAGGTTCGCAGCTCGCCGCGCGGCCACAGGTCGATGGAGTGGGCACGCGCGACGCAGGAGCTGACAGCTTTCTGCGGCGTGACCAATGCCGCCTCGCAGGTCATTGGGTAGGGTGAGGGTGAGGAGATCGATCCACTGATCGCTCTACAGATACAGCACCTACCAACACTTCTGCACCTCACATATATATACACTCCATGATGTAATCTCTTTATAATTATAAGATATATATCCATGATTATCCATCCATATAAAACGCCAGCTGTGATACTTTTTCTATGAAACGTCCAGAGGATTCAATAAAGGAAGGAGTTTAAACACATTTTATTTATAGGGACAGAACTTGACTACAGAGAATGATTTACAAAGGAGCAAAGGAACTAAGGAAGGAGTTCAGCTTGTTGGGATGATCTCGCATTGACGCTTTCCTCCTGCACCGCACCAAGGCCTAGCTTTTGGATGGGTTTAACTGGCTTTATGAGCCCATTTAATTTAATTTAATTTAATTAATCCAAGGTTCATGTTTACTGTCAGAAGTTATGTGTTGTAATCCTGCAATAAAGAGGATTGATAGAATTAGAAGATCTTTCCTTTGCAAGGGTGCAGAAATAGCAAATGTTGGGAATTGTCTAGTTTGTTGGCCAAAGGCCACGAGACCAAAAAATACTAGGAGAGCTCTGCATTCTTGACTTGGAGTGCTTTGTTAGCGCACTACGCCTCATGTGGCTTTGGTATGCTTGGGTCGATCCAGATATATAGACCTTGGGTTGGTACCGAACCCCCATGTGGTCCGACGGACAAAGCCCTCTTATGAGCTTCAACAGTGGTAACAGCTAGGCGTGGTGACAAAGCATCCTTTTGGCACTCAACATGGCTAAACAGTCAGGGACTGATTGACATTGCGTCTAACCTGTACTCGTTGGCACAAAGGAAAAATCAGAAAAGTGAAAGATGACATACTCAATCACAATTGGACGTGAGGCTTATGGCAGATGGAGACTGTGCAACAAATGGCAAAGTTCGCGTGCCTTTCGTACCTTGTCCATCTGGAACTCAATGAACAAGAAGATAAGATATTCAGCATGTTCGCTTGTTGGTTTTAGTCAGGTCTTATCAGTTATGGTACAGTATTTTTCTCTCACAATAAACCAGCACCAGTCGGACTTATCAGCCTAGAAACCAACCAGCGAACATACTGATTGTGGAGGTGGATAGAGGACGTCATCTCCACTTTAAAATCTGCATACCTGGCGCGATTCAAAGGCTTCTTTTGTTCCATTAAGGCAAAGTCAATCTGGAGAGAACGTGCAGAAGGGAAATTAAAATTCTTTGCATGCTGTTAGTTCATTCAAAAGTACTAATGGCAAACACTAGTTGGTCCGAGAAAGATAGAGTGCTCAAGTATAAACATAAAATTGAAAGAGAGACACTCTAGTACTCCACGAGCACGTAGAATATTTTTCTGTGACTGTCGGTGTCGGAAGTCACGACGTAAGCCGGAACTCCCGATAGTCGAAAGTCACGACTCATGCCGGAAGTTCTGACTCCCAGTCACTTAGCCTACGCGGTGACTGTGGACGTTGAAAGTCCCGACGTGAGTCGGAACTCCCGACAGT